CCCCGCCGCATCAGAGGGAAGCAGCCGCGCGGGGAGCCCCGTGCGCTTCCTCCAAGGCCGCATCCGTCTGCGATGCCGGAGCCGCCCCCGCTCCTCCCAACCGCTGCCGTTAGCAGCCCACGGGCTCCGCTCGCACCCAGCACCAGTCGCGGGTATTGCCAGGCTCCAATCACCCTCCCTCCATCCCATGACAAAATCACGGCCTCGTCTGCTGCTGAGGGACCCACAACCTTCTAGTTGCCCAAGGGGACTATTTTAACCAGAAGGATTTGTTTTTAATGAAAGGGCAAGGAGGGATAGGGGTCCAAACCGGGGCCCACCAGGCAGAAGCCTTTGAGGAAGTTGGATGCAGCAGGAAGGAGGGCAGCACTCAGTGCACTCATCAGCTGTTTATTGTGTTTTTTCATGCAATATATCAGTGTGAAGGAGAAGGAAGCCCCGTGCCCGGCCCCCCCGCACCCTTGCCCTCTGGTAGCCACAGCAGAGCTCAGCTGCTCCAGCACCTCCTTGGCACGGGCTGGAATTCTGCTCAGCTGCTAGGAAAGCAAAAATGCGTAACCAAAAGCACCGAGTCTGCGTTCAGTGGTGTCTTTTTCCCAGCCTTGAGGATTTTCAGGCCCCACATAAGCAGGACTGAGATAGTGGGAGGGTTTCTTTTTGTGTTGCACAGCAGAAGTCAAGCGCAGGGGCCGGGTGGCACGAGGACAGGGGGAGATGAGGAGCAGCGGTGCTGCGGGGTGGCAGAGATGACAGAGTCTAAAGGACAGGATCACCCAAGGAGTCCAATCCCAAGAAAGAAATGACTAAATGCTGTGAGGGGGATAGAAATAATGCAGAAAAGCAGAAGCTGCAGAGCTTGGGATAGCTCCGTGCCTGCGCTAAGCCCGGAGAGCAGCAGCAATCCTCAGAGCGGGTGCGGGAAGGCTCAGCAACCACCCCGCAGAGACCCGACGTCTCCTCAGGGAGCCTTGGCCTCACCCGCCGCGGGGCGGCTCGGTGCCTCCTGCGAGCCCGCAGGGCCCTGGCTCTGCTTGGTGCCAGGACGTTGCTCTTCCCCCTGCGCCGGGGACGCGCTCGCTTGGCTGCAGCTCCTCGTGCCGTTGACCCCCTGGCGCG